ATTCGTAGGTAATTATTGCAATAAAAATTTAAAAATATTTTTATAAATGCTGTGTTTTTATATTAATTATCGTTTTACATTATAAAATCAAGAAAAATAATTAATTATAAGGAAAAATACTTGCAATAATTCTATATTCTATATGAGGATTAATAATTTTTAAATAAATAAACGTACCTTATGTTTATTCTTTTGAATAATTTATAGTTAATTCACTGTTTCGATATTTTAATTTCTCTTTTTTTATATTTATATATTTACATATTGTACATGAAATTTTCATACGAATGCAAATTTATACTTTTACGAGCATGAATAAAAGAGTGGAATCTAAATAAAAATTTGTTTTCTACAATAAATATTATAACGAGTATTCTACGTTGAATATTTCGTAAATTGTATCATTTATCCATTTCTGCAACTTTAAACATTTCATAAATGCATAAATATCCATTATATGATAATATTTTTCAAATGATGAAATTTTATTTCTTTTTTCTTAATTTCGTTAACATTTTGATTAGATTTTTTGAAAAAAAATACATAAAGTTTTAAATATATTCACGTTTGATCATTATTTTCATCGAATTTATATCGAATTAACATTCTGAAATTATGACTCAATTATGAAATAACATTCCTGTTTTCAACGTGAATCTATGGAAAAATTGAAATGTGTGCGTTTCTTGGTTGAATCGGTTCGTTCGATCATTTAAAAACTAAGGCAATTATGGCATTATCAAGAACAAAACGTGATGGAACAGATATTCGGCTCTTTGAAGTACTCTTCAACCTATTTTTCGTACGATACAACCCGTTATGAATATTTAAAGTGCGCTTTTAAAGGCATTTAATTGAAGCTTACGGCCCAAGAGTACTTCTCGAGCACCCATTGAAACTGTACAGAAAAGGCGTCATATTTCGAGATGAATTCAATTCCAAGAATTGTTTTAATGAGGAACATTTATAAATGAAATAAATAATACTCATTATATGGAAGTTATTAAAGTTAAATGGAGCAATATTTTTGTTCTCCAGATAGAAGATATATTGAGATAATTTTTTTTTATTATTCTTTAATCAATATGTATTTATATTTCTGGATTATTTTACGCAGCCTTTGGTGCTAGAACATTCGGTTTCCACGGTCTTAATTTATCCTCATTTGATTATTATCGGGTCATAGATGATCAGAATAGTATATGTTAAAATATTTAAACGGTATTCAGATGATAAGGATTATAAATAGCTTTATATGGAAAATATCTAAAAAATAGAATTAAATTTTTAACCTAAGATTACAAAGATTGCAAAAACTTTTCAATTAAAATTACCCTAAAAAAGTTATTTTTAAAAGATTTTAAACGTTTTCAAAAAAAAAAAAA